CAAAGAGTAGATACTTTGGCCTTAAAAGTAGTCCCTATATAGGTACTTTCGGGGCCAATGTATATACTATATGAATACATGGACCCTGAGGGCTGGTCTCGCTTCTGAAACCCTACACTCCGAAACCCTACACCCTAAGCCCTAAATCACTAAATCACTAAACCACTAAACCCCTAAACCCCTAAACCCCTAAATCCTAAACCCTAAACCCTAAACCCTAACCTGTAACTAAGGATCGTTCCCTGACTCTGCTTCACTGGGCTGCGCGGCAGGGGTAAGATGCTCCCCGCGGCGCCTAGCGTGGCAGCATGTAAAATTAGGAACCCCAAAAGGACATAAGCATAAGCATTTTATAGGAGTATCCCTACCTTGTTGGGCTTCATTATAAGAGGGTTTATATGGGATATCCCTATCCTAAGTGTTGCTAATGTGCTTTTTTGGGGCCCTATAGGGGTTTACCTTAACCCCAGATAACCAACCTTTTTAAGGACTGATACAAAGAAATCACAAGAAGGAGCCGTAAAAAGGTAGCTTCTTTTGGGTCAAGGCAGGGTTTAGGACAAAAGACAGCTTGTCTTAGGGGCTCAGCATCTGTACAATTACAGGGTTGTAGCGCGGTACTACAGGGTGTTTTAGAAGCGATGTGAAGTAGGCTTATGTCGGGGATTTCGGCGAGTGTTACCGTAAACCCTTGTGAACCTTACACCCTAATACAAGAACTGACATGTCAACTATTCCTGGGTATTATAATTTTGGGATTGGGCTTTAGGCTTTGGGGTTTAGGGTTTCGGGTTTGTGTTTAAGGTCCTTATCAGGAGTTCAGGGGCACTAAACTTCAGGATGTGGATGAGGGCAAATTGTCAATAGAGCTCCTGCGGCGTACTGGTTAGTGTTGTTTTGGGTTGTGTTTTTTGGAATGCTCGCAGTCAGACAGTCATAGCAGAATAGCTACTTCTTGAAAAGACTGACGTTCTGATGTAAGGAATTGGAAGCTAAGCTAGGTAGGCAACTTGAAAACCATGAAGCCTACACCCTAGCTCCAGGCTCGCAGATTATAATTAACCGACATGCCCGGGATCTACCCTGAACTCTCAGCCCTACACAACAAATCAAAACGAATCCCTTCGTAGTCCCTGTGAAGTTCTAACCCTAAACCCTAAACCCTAAACCCTATAGCATGGTATATCCTTCTTCAACTTACTACGAAGGCCCGGTTCCCAGGGTTTGCAGTCCCTTAGAGCCGGGTTTAGGGTTTAGGGGTTTAGGGTTTAGGGTTTAGGGGTTTAGGGTTTAGGGTTTAGGGTTTAGGGTTTAGGGTTTAGGCTTAGGTCTTCATCTTCACAGCCTCTGAAGGAGGCTGACGCAAGAGCAACGCCCACTCACATCTGGAGCAGTTCAGACGGATAGGCCACGTCTTATCTGATTATTGTAGCTGCGTCAGTTTTGGGTTTAACATTACATAAACCCGAAACCCTAAACGCTAAACCCTAATCCCTAAGCCCTAAACCCTAAACCCTGAACCCTAAGCCCGAAACCCAACCCTAAACCCTAATCCTTTGCCGATAGCTACTCAGACTGAGCAGCGTTCGGTGAGGCGAATTATGTGAATTAGGGTATCTTCTTTATTATGGGTAATGCAAGATTTATGTCATCAACCGTAGTTCTGTCTGCAACCCTTATACACCGCAAACTAACCCCCAAGTCCGTGATCAATGAGCGCTGAAAGTGCAACGAGGGTTGCAGGGTTTAGGATAGTGGGATTTAGGACTTAGGGTTTAGGGTTTAAGGCTTAAGGTTTCGAGGTTGATGGTAAAGTGTGTGAAGTGCATCTTTGTGTAAAGGTTGACCGGTACATGCGACGTCTTGTAAGTGGCTTTTTTTGCATCGAACATTCTACGTTAGGGTTTGGCGGTTCAATGGATCGGGACCCCCGAGGTGCCCTTGAACAGTGCCTTTGCGGTCCCATTGTCCGAGCCAACTGACTGGGGCTAGTAGGTTTAGGGTTTAGGGTTTAGGGCTATGCTAGGGTTAATTCCTTACGAAGTAAGGCGTTTCCCCATGATGTGCGGTTAGTCTACCCCGCCCGCTAGGCTCTACCGACGCCAGCCATTTCGCACCCGGACATTAAACTAAGTCGGGACCGTGCTCCAGAGCAGGGATTAGCTTATCAACTGGGTTGGTGCGCAGAGCTCAGGGTTTCAATGATGGGGTGTAGCTTTTACGTTTCAACTTTCAACTTGCTCGCTTGATTCCGCTAGTTTCTGCTTGCGAGAGGGGTTACTTCAATAGGATGCGCTTTTACCCTACACGCTGGGCGCAGCTTCTTGCGTTTTTTCGCGCAGTCTCGCGCGCGACGCGGCAAAAGTGGCTGCAGGCTCCAGGGTGCGAGGTTCGGGGTAGAGTTTAAGGTAGAGGACCTCAACCCATGCCTCCCACTGACGGAATGTAGGGTCCAAACACTGAGCCATTAGCTGTAAACTGTAAACTTTTCGGAAGCCATCCCCTAAGGGTCCATGCATTCCTACAGTATGTACATTGGCCCCAAAGTACCTGTATAGGGACTACTTTAAGGCGGCCAAAGTCTGTACTATTTGGGTACATGGACCCTTATAACCCTAAACCTTAAACCCTATACCCTACACCCTAAACCCTAAACCCTGTAAGCCCTAAACCCTAAACCCTAAAGGGATGGGAAGCCAGGATTGAAGCCCAGCGCTCGGATGCAGAAGTTGTTTCTGAGGGGTCTCGGGTTTCTGGCTTGGTTTAAACTAAGTTTAGGGTTTAGGGTTTAGGGTTCAGGGTTCAGGGTTTAGGGTTTTAGGGCTTTGGGGTTTTAGGGTTTGGGGTTTAGGGGGTTTAGGGTTATACCCTGATGATTGAGCAGCTTTATGGGGCTTAGGGTGGTTGGAGAGCCTGCATATCGAGTTCAAAAGGAACAGCAGCCCTACATAGCCCTTTGGGAACCCTTGACGCGGACATAACCCGATAGAGCCCTGCTTCAGGAAACCCACTTAGCCTTGAATAACCATCGAACAAGCTTGAAAACATGACGACTCCCTAAACCCTAAACCCTAAACCCTAACACATCCGGTAATTAGAACGAGCACGCCAGGCCCCCAAAACCCGAAACCCTAAACCCTAAACCCTAAACCCTAAACC